GGCTTACTTGCGATAAAGAGTATAAAACATTTTTTCTTGCTTAAAATTACCATAAAAGAAAAATTTTTAACAAAACGGACATGATCAGAAGAGAGTTTTTTTTCTCCTAAATTTAAAACATTATTAAAATACAATAAATTATAATCTATATATTAAATTTAATATACATAAATCTAAAAATCTTGAATTGAATTATTAGAATTCTTAAGTAAAATAAACTTTTTTTCTATACTAATGAAATTGTATTATAAATTAAATATATATTCATAAACTAATATAATATTTTTTTTCTTTGTTATCAAATTTTTAAACATCTTATATTTGATTTATTGAATTTTATTTTTTCATTATTTGAGAGATTTTTCAGAACTTTTTCAAGTTTATTTTTGGATAGTATTAAAAAAAATTTTATTTATTTATTTTTATTTTATAAATTACAAATATAGGTTTTTAAATAAAAATTTTTTATAAATATATTTATAAATTAAAAAAATAATTGATAATAAGCAATATTTTTTAATAAAATAAGAATTCAAAATATATATTAAAGAAAATGATAAGTATTATTGATTGATTATCAAATAGTTTCAATTTAAAATTTAATAAAAATTTATAAGACATCAAAAACAATATAAAGAAATATACAGTATGTTTAAAATTATAATAAGTTAAAATAAAAAATAACAAAAAATTTGGAATCTGCTAAAGAATTGATTCAATTGATGAAAAGATGTTGTGAACTAATTATAGAAAGTGAGGAAAAACATATCTCTTATTAAATTTTTTTTTAAAAATGCATTTAATATCTTTATGTAAAGAAAGTTTCATGTGATTCCATGTGACCGTTTTTGCGCAAGAAAAAAAAAAATTCTGATTTTTTTTGGACGTGTATATCTTACAATACTTATCAAATTTCCCGCCATTGTTACGCGACGTGTCACCATATTCTTCATTTTATCCACAACGGTAGACAAGAAAGCATGAAAACGTCGATTCATTCTGGAAAATTCGATTCCAAAATAATCTCAAGCTATGTTCATGTTCTTCGCGAATTGCACATGATAATCATGTGCATAATAATAAACACGTATGTATGTATGTGAGGTATGACAGAATTTCGTCTATATTTTTTTTAACTATGTCCAGTAAAGTAAAGAACCCGAGGCTTTCAAGTAGTGATGTCGAATATGAACGTATCTCTCGTGCACTTACTTCCTTAGTCAGACACTTTTTAACTGAATCTTTGCACGACCAAAGTAAGACGGGCGGCAAGAGCTTGCTTTCGTCCATCGAGTCGGGAACGTCGCGACAGAAACAAACTTTCGATTATTGCATGAGAATATTGGGCAGGTTAGCATCCTCATAATCCGTCTTCTAATCGCATTAAACGTGAGAACAGATACTAAGAAACTTATGTTCTTACTAGCCGGTTAACACCCTCAATAACGAGTGACGAGCTACATGTATCCGATCTCATAAAGAAAAAGTGTAACAAACTTATTCATATTCATTTGTATTGAGCATTCCTTCGCTGTACTTATCTCTGATCTTGTTTTGTTTTAAAAAATTCGTATGTATAGTAATTCGCGAAACAAAATCTTCTTCGAAATCCTTACGTTTTGCAAATTTATTTGCTAAATTGCAATCTCAGGTGATACACAAAATGTTACTTTGATGTTTCCTTTTTCCCTTCGAAGTACCGTTTTAACATTACGACTTATAATATGATAGTCTATTGTAACGCGTAAATGGGCTATATTGTATTTTTTGCTATCGGTCAGTGACCAATCAAGTGGCAATGAAGCCTCCATAATTGCGAATCCCGCGGTAAGTTAAAGAAGAAACGCGTTTGTTTTTTTTTATTTCAATTAAAGAGTCGAAAAGTGAATTCCAGTTATTCGACTAATATCTAAATTCCTCAAGCCAATAGAGAAAGCGTTTTCGTTACGAGGGTTACAAGACATACCAAATTATAAGGAACTCGAAAGAATCAGATCAACATCTGATGAAGCAAATCGTTTCATGCAAATTGCTGCTTCCCCACCAAAGCCATCAATGAAGTTGTCGAAAGAGGATCTCCCACCAAAGATTGTTCTGAACAAGCAATTAATGGAGTTAGATAATAGTAAGCAAATTAGTTCCATAAAGCTAACGAACGGGGTTTCAGATAGTTGTGAAAGAACACACGGTGGTCGTGCCTTTACCATTTTACCTCTTCATCCCAATAGCGAATAAAGAAATCTCCGAAGCTTTATTGTTACGGGATATTATATTCATTTTTCAAGGAATAGATGGACAATTCGTCAAATATAATGTCGATGAAGCTTCATATATTATTGATCCGAAGGTGACATTTACATATATATATATATATTTGTTTGTTTATTTATATCTTCCAATATATTAATATTTTGTTAAATCAAAATCGCGGTGAATTACAGATTTCCATCAGTCGATCTACCCGGGATTTGTTACATAGGCTCACGGAATTGGGCAAGCTTTACCTACGCGTGGATAAATTTGTTGACAACAACGTGAATGATCCATCTATTGGACTAGTTGGACAGGTAATGATCCTACATTCCAGATATATTCATTTTATTGTTGTTTTTACAGATAGTTGACGAATTTTATTAGGCTTTTTGCTCTGCCTTACAACATGAATTGACAGAATATTATAGATTCATTGCCGTTCTTGAAGCTCAAGTCAATAAAGAAGTGAACGGTAAACAGATGTCAACTGATGGTATCTCGTTGAAACGCCTATTGGTGTGGATACAAGAGTCCTTGTTAAAATTACGGATGATGTCTGTGTTGGTGGACTGCTGCAAACAGAAGAGAGGTGGTGCCTTGGTTTCAGCGATTTATAATTACACAAATCATGGGGATCCGTTTATTCAACAGTTTGTTAATAACATGCTTGAAAAGGTATAATATTTCTGGTTGTGAATTTTCATTTTCAGACATATGATTCTCACTTCATATAATACGATGTCAGATTTCGTGTCCGTTCTTCGAGATGCTTCAACGTTGGATATATGAGGGTGAATTGGAGGATCCGTTCGAAGAATTTTTTGTCGCCTGTAACCCTGATGTGGAAGAAGACTTATGGCAATCAAAATATTATATTCGCTCCGACATGCGACCGGCTTTCATCAGCGAATTGCTCGACAAAAAAGTCTGTAAGCTCTCCGTATTGTGCACGTGTAACTGGATCTAGTTGTTTATTTGACCTAATCAAACATTATTATAATTACACAGATTTTTTCTATAGGAAAGTCACTTAATTTCATACGTTATAGTTGTCACGACAATAATTGGGTGATTACCAATGCAAAAGCGGCTGGAACAGACAAACGTAGGTATCCTATATAATCTGTTTAATATCGTGCCGAAAATAATTCTAGTCTGAATTGTTTCTAGTGCTGAAGTATGGAGACATCATGGCACTCGAGAGTTCTATTGATGCCACCTATAATGCCACGAGCCAACAACTTCTGAATATTTTATTTGTAAAATACAAGTTGAAGGAGCATTTCACTGCTTTGAAGCGTTATCTGCTACTTGGACAAGGTGATTTTATACAACATCTGATGGTTCAGCTTGGGTAAGTTTTTGTTGCAACAATGTAATTGATTATTTATTTACCGTGTATTTCTTAAATTATTATCCATAAAATCAGACCTGGTCTTTCAAAGCCAGCTAACACCCTCTATCATCACAACCTCACTGGTACTTTGGAAGCAGCTATTCGTGCGTCTAATGCCCAGTATGACGATCCAGACATCCTTCGTCGATTGGATGTTAGACTTTTAGAGGTATCAGCATGGTCGTTATCGTATTGCGAAGTTGGCACGAATCGCAATTGTATACCAAAAAAATAATTTTGAAACGATCTTATGTTCCACAGGTTACTTCTGGTGATGTTGGTTGGGACGTTTTTAGCTTGGATTACCACGTGGATTCGCCAATAAACACAATCTTCACGCCACAAGCAATGCATCACTATCTCAAATTATTTAATTTTTTGTGGCGATTAAAACGCGTGGAACATGAATTGTCATCCGCTTGGCGCCGTAACATGACCAGCGCGAGAAGTTTGTTTAAAGTCAAAGGTAGCACGGATTTTATTAATGATTCTTCCCTCGATTTCACTCATTTTAATTTGATCATACTTGTTACTTATTAGAGTTAAATAATTCGAATAATAGCAGATTGGTTTGTAGTGAGATGATTCATTTTGTTTATCAATTACAGTATTATATACTATTTGAGGTAAATCTCTTTTTATTATAATTGTAGTTATAAGCAATGGTTGAAAATTTAATTAAATTCAGGTAATCGAATGTTCTTGGGATGAGCTTGTCACCGACATTCACAAGCCCTCTGGAGATCTGGATTCGCTTATAGAAGCCCATAATAAATATTTAACTAATATCACCACCAAAGGTTTTTTGAGTACTTCAAATAATCAGGTAATCACTGATCCTTTTTTTTTTCTCCGATTTTTGTTGTCACCTACATCAATGAATTTTTGGTAACAAAAGCATTTTATTAAGAATTATCTGTCCAGCATATTAAGTATAATCGGAATTATTCTACAGTACAAGAACTGCATGGTATTTCTTACACCAAACAAAAACTAATTCTGCTGGTTGTTTCCTCGACAGCCTTTAACTAATCATGTTCAACCAGGATGAACTACACAATTTCTGTCTAAAAGAGATGATACGCAGAGACAATACCAGTGTCGAACAAGTATGCACGCTTCTAATATACCAGTGAAAAATTTTTTTGTTGATTATACTAATTCTTTTCCCTGAGTAGAATCTATGGAGTATAGATAAGTCTAAAAATTCGGATCCTAGGAAAAGTTTGACGGGCATCCAAGAACATTTGAGCGAGATTGCTGGGCAATTTAAAGTAAATTCTAATATATATATATATACTGTTCTCAATTATGACTTGAACGTTGCGCGTAATCAAAAAATATCGAATGATTTAGGGCGAAGTAGTAAATCTGTTAACTTCCCTGGCTCATCATCATGATACGGACTTGAGATTTCTCAGTGTTCGCCTCGATTTCAATGAATATTATAATCATTTCAACGAGAAGAATAGTGGTAAGGGGAAGAGGATGTTAGGAAGTTAAAGTTGATTCGATTTTTTAAGTTGGGTGTCCAAGATGTAATGAACTCGATTTAATAATAAAAAGATGCGCTAGCTATTAACTGTCATAAAATTGGTCTGCGATAAAAACTTTAGAAACTATTGTGAGGTGGAAGAGGAGCGTCTTTCGTATTTGCGTTTCAATACGTAATCCCTATAACAGTATACACATAAATGGTGTAACAATTTTCGTTGACCGCACCCAGGACAGTTTACGATATTTGTCCTGTCCTTCAATCCTTTATGTGCCGAGCGCATTCTTTTCTTTGAGTGTGACGTCTTTTTTTTGGGAACAGCCCATAAAAAAGAACCGAATATTTCGGTTAAGCCGATCCAGGTACCAGTTCCTTGTAAAGTTTTTCTCCAAAGTGCATTAATACATGCTGAAGCAACGGACGCGTCGGGTTGCAAAAAACTCTTACGTAAAGATACGCTAGTCATTCGTGTTCTGATATATGTGGGAGTGGTCAGCAAAGTTTGCAAAATAAGAGAAGATACGAAAAAGCAGTCAACAATCGAAGAACGATACTGTACTAAATTGCAAAAGCTAGGATGAAAGATCCCAAATTTTTATCGTTAACAGTTAGATAATTGGCTAATCAGAAATTTAAACGGTGAGCAGTTACACAAGACACGAAACCACCGATCATGATTTTAAATTCGATGCGAAACCTTGTCGGAAAATCTTTTTTGGCAAGAAAAACTGCTAAATATTTATTCCTAAACGTCAGAATTATCGAAAAAAAACGTATATCACCTCTATTGAGAAGTTTTGTTACAACTTCTTTACCTGCTAGAACTTCTCTCACGAAACATCAAGTGGAACAAGAAGTGGAAGAGATCGATCGTTCTCAATACCCTGAGCTCTTTCCCTCAGAGGAAGTAACACAAGAATATTATAACGAAGAAACTCCACATAATGATGCCGATGATGCGTGGTTTGTGGATCCAGCTTATGAAAATCCGCAGGAAGAAAGTGCTACTGACTTCGTTCCTTTATGGCAGCGGAAAGCTGCTGCCATTGAAGACTCGTCCGCCTCGAATCTTCTATCAATTTCAAAGGATATCTCTCATACTGACACAGATTTTTTGAGTATAATAAGATATCTAGAGGACGATGGAGTGGAGAATATTACTTTAATTGATGTGAGACAAAAATGCGACTTTGCAGATTGGATTATAATTGGAGAAGGCAAAAGCGTAAGACATTTGGGAGGCGCGATAGATGGGCTGTATCGAATGGTGAAAGAAAAAATTTTTTTATCTGCTGTGACATCTGTTTTACCAAAAACTTTAATCCGATTGAATTATTCATCTTACCAGTTGAAAAGGGAGGTCAAGCGTTACAATGCAGATCAGTCAAATTCCTCCATCAAAAACTATCCCATCGTCGAAGGTCGTGATTCAGATGATTGGATGTTAATTGACACTGGTTCAATTTTTGTGCATTTGTTTACACCGGAGGCAAGAAAGTATCGAGATATCGAAGGTATATGGGAAACGATAAGTCAACCTATCTCATCTAAAGAAGAACTAGACAAAATTACTAAAGATATGGAAAGAGAATTTAGACAGTTTGATCCTAAACTAAGCAGGCGACCTCCAAACCAAGATTGATTATTGGTCATAAATATACACTCACAATTTGATTCTTTAATTAATTAAAAAAATAATAATTTTTTTTTTCGATATAATAATTAATTACAAACAAACCAAAAAAAGAATAGACAATTTTACATTCACCGAATAAATGAAACAATGTGTTTTTAAAAATGTCGCCACTTTATCCAATTTTGTACTTGTCACCAAAATAAAGAATAAAGTTGAACAGCAGAACTATTACGTAATATTAAGGCGTAATCCACCATTTATTTTGTAGACAGCACACAAAACGTTCATTAAAAATGTCGAATAAAAAAAAAAAATGGACGATGAGAATTCCATGGATAAAACTACTAAAGAATTATACGACCAGTATATCGAAGGCAAATCGAAAGAAAGAGATGTCAGGTTAATCTTCGACTTAGTAATCAAACAATATTCAGAAAAACCGGAAGATGTAATTAACTGGTGTTTAAAAAACAACGAAAATCCCGTGTCTCATAGTATTCTCGCTAATTGTCATCGTTATGGTATATGGGTTAAAAAGGATGAACATAAGGCATTTGAACATTACAAAAATTGTGCAAAAATGGGTGATTCCGATGGAACATTTCAAGTCGGTAACTGTTATCTCGAAGGAATTGGAGTTAAAAAAGATGAACATAAAGCATTCGAGTATTACAAAAAATCTGCCAAGATGGGGGATTCTGTTGGAGCATATAAAGTTGGTAATCATTATCTTAACGGAATTGGTGTTAAGAAGGATGACCAAAAAGCGTTTAAATACTATCAGAAGTCAGCAGAGATGGGTCATGCGGGTGGAACATTTAGTATTGGTTATCTTTACAGTGTGGGAGTTGGTGCTGAAAAGGATGAACGTAAAGCATTCGAATATTATAAAAAATCAGCTGAGATGGGTTATGCGGATGGAACATATAATGTTGGTTATCGCTATGATGAAGGAATTGGCGTTGAAAAGGATGAACAGAAAGCATTTGAATATTACCTAAAGTCAGCCGAGATGGGTCATGTTCGTGGAACATATAATACTGCTTATTGTTATCTTTATGGGACTGGGATCGAAAAGGATGAAAATAAAGCATTTGAATATTATCAAAAATCAGCCAATATGGGGGATATTGAAGGAACATATAATGTCGGATATTGTTATCTTAATGGAATTGGAGTTGAGAAGGATGCGCAAAAGGCATTCGAATATTATCAAAAATCAGCAGAGATGGGTGATGTGAACGGCATCTATAATGTTGGCTATTGTTATCATCATGGAACTGGAGTTGAAAAGGATGAACATAAAGCACTCGAATATTATCAAAAATCAGCCGAGATGGGTTATCCGGACGCAACATATCAACTTGGTTACTGTTATCAGAATGGAATTGGTGTTAAAAAAGACGATTTTAAAGCATTCGAATATTATCAAAAATCAGCTGAGATGGGTTTTGTGAAAGGAATATTTAACGTCGGTTGTTTCTATGAAGATGGAATTGGTGTTGAAAAGGATGCGCAAAAGGCATTTGAATATTATCAAAAATCGGCCGAGATGGGCCATGCGAGTGGTATCTATAACGTCGGTCACTGTTATACTAAGGGAATTGGAGTTAAAAAAGATGAATACAAAGCGTTCGAATGTTATCAAAAATCAGCTGATATGGGAAATGTTCAAGGTACCTATAATGTTGGTCATTGTTATTTTCATGGAGTTGGAGTTGAAAATAATGCACAGAAGGCGTTTGAATATTACAAGAAGGCAGGCGATATGGGTGATGTGAGTGGCAACTATAACGTTGGCTATTGCTATGCTGAGGGAATTGGTGTTAAAAAAGATGAACGCAAAGCGTTCGAATACTATCAAAAATCAGCTGATATGGGTGACGTGCAAGGTACCTATAGTGTTGGCCATTGTTATCTTCATGAAATAGGAGTTGAGAAGGATGAACATAAGGCGTTTGAGTATTATAAAAAATCTTCCGAGATGGGTTACGCGAGTGGAACATCACAACTTGGATTCTGCTACGCCAAAGGAATTGGAGTTGAAAAGGATGAAAACAAAGCATTCGAATATTTTCAAAAATCTGCAGAGATGGGCAATGCCAATGGAACATACCAACTTGGCTGTTGTTATCTTGAGGGAATTGGGGTTAAGAAGGATGAACATAAGGCATTTGAAAATTTTGAAAAATCGGCCGAGATGGGTTCTATAGACGGAATATACAATGTTGGATTTTGTTACGATAAAGGAATTGGCGTTCGTAAAGATGAACATAAAGCATTCGAATATTATGAAAGATCGGCTGAGATGGGTTTTGTGAATGGAATATATAATGCTGGTTATTGCTATCTTCATGGGATCGGAGTTGAAAAGGATAAAAATAAAGCATTCAAATATTTTCAAAAATCAGCCGAGATGGGAACTGGTAAGGGAGTGTTTCAACTTGGGTATTGTTACTTTAATGGAGCTGGAGTTGCGGAGGATAAACACAAGGCATTTGAACATTTCCAAAAATCGGCCGAGATGGGCAATGTAGACGGAATATATAACGTTGGATATTGTTACGATAAAGGAATTGGAATTGAAAAGGATGAATGTAAAGCATTCGAATATTACAAAAAATCGGCTGAGTTAGAAGATGCCACGGCAACATTTCAACTTGGTTACTGTTATCTTAATGGAGTTGGAGTTGAAGTGGACGGGCATAAAGCATTCGAATATTTCCAAAAATCAGCTAATATGGGTTCCTCTGAGGGATTATATAATCTTGGCCATTGTTATCTTAATGGAATTGGAATTACAAAAGATGAACATAAAGCATTCAAAGCTTATCAAAAATCTGCTGAGATGGGCAATACAAACGGAATATATAATGTCGGCTATTGCTACGACAATGGAATCGGAGTCGATAAGGATGAACATAAGGCGTTCGAATATTATCAAAAGTCTGCTATAATGGGTGACTCAGATGGAATCTTTCAAGTTGGTAATTGCTATATCAATGGAAATGGTGTTGAAAAGAATGACCATAAGGCGTTTGAATATTATCAAAAATCTGCTGAGATGGGTCATGTTAGAGGAATAAATAATGTCGGCAATTGTTATTGCATCGGAGTTGGAGTTGAAAAAGATTACAGTAAAGCCTTCGAATATTATCAAAAATCAGCAGAGATGGGGTACGCCGATGGTGTATTTCAACTTGGTTGTTGTTATCTTGATGGATCCGGAGTAGAGAAGGATGAACATAAGGCATTTGAACATTTCCAAAAATCATCCGAGATGGGCCATGTAACTGGAACATATAATGTTGGTTATTGTTACGACAACGGAATTGGTGTTAACTTAGATGAATATAAAGCATTTGAATATTATCAAAGATCAGCCGAGTTGGGTCATGCGAGTGGAACATTTAATGTCGGCTATTGTTATCTTTGTGGAACTGGAGTTAAAAAAGATGGCCATAAAGCATTCGAATATTTTCAAAAAGCAGCTGAGATGGGTTTTGCTCAGGGAATATTTCGACTTGGATGTTGTTATCTTGATGGAACTGGAGTTGAGAAGGATGGGCATAAAGCATTCGAATGTTTCCAAAAAGCAGATAATATGGGTTACTCTGGTGGAACATATAATCTTGGATATTGTTACGATGAAGGAATTGGTGTTGAAAAGGATGAATTTAAAGCATTTGGATATTATAAAAAATCAGCTGAAATGAGTCATGAGAGTGGAACATATAATGTTGCTTATTCTTATCTTAAGGGGACCGGGGTCGAAAAGGATGAAAATAAAGCATTCGAATATTTTCAAAAATCAGCTGAAATGGGATTTGCTAAGGGAGTGTTTCAACTTGGATATTGCTATCTTAATGGAATTGGTGTTGAAAAGGATGGACATAAAGCATTTGAATGTTATCAAAAATTAGCCAATATGGGAATCTCTGAGGGAGTATATAATCTTGGTAACTGTTATCTTAATGGAATTGGAGTTGAAAAGGATGAAACTAAAGCTTTTGAATATTATCTCAAGTCAGCCGAAATGGGTCATGTGAATGGAACATATTATGTTGGATATTGCTATAGAAAAGGAATCGGAGTCGAAAGGGACCAAAGTAAGGCATTAGAATATCATCAAAAATCAATTGAGATGGGTTATGTGGATGAAAAATAAAGCTACTTTTAATATTATATCATCATCATTATTATTTATAACTGTATAGTAGCTTTATAAAGGTTATATATTGACTCAAAAAATTGTTTCGATAATTAAAACTTTTTAATAATCAGTTTTGAAAATAATAAAATAATAATTTGATTCAAATTTGACTTAAATTGTTCAGGCATATGGGTTGTTACATAGCAAATCGGGGCTTAGAAAAGTTTTAACCAAAGTTAAGACTTTTAGTGGACTATATTCCTAAGAGTGTCCTTTATCCGTAATAAAATTACAGGTATATATCAATATATTATAATTTATTACAATTTTGCGCGCACTTTTTTTTATTTTATATGATTCAATATACAAACTTAGATTGATAATTGTCTATATTTCCAAATCGAAAATTTGTCTCTAAGCATGGTTTAATACTATATAATAATATAAATAATTTTTTAAATAGTATGTTTTAACAAATATATATTGTATATGTTATTAAATATTTAATTAAAAAAAAATTTTTATAACCAAATTTTTATTTATTATTTTTTTTAACAGGCATTAAATGTAAGGCTTTTATTAAATATTACATTTTACATGTTTACATTAACAATCTTTTTACATAGTAAACTAATTATAAACAAATTTTTATAAGGTTAACTCTAAATAAATATATATATATATTAAAAAATTATATTATATTTTTAAAATAATAAAATCATATTTTGTAAATAAAATATACTTTTGAAATAATATAAATACAGTGTGGGTCAAAAATAATTGGACAACATATCAATTTTTATTTTTGTAATATTTCAATAACTAATTGATAAAA